CTGAGTCAACCCTGAGCCGGTGAGATTTGAACCGCTGAACTGCTGATCTAGCAGTAGCCTGCAGTGCTGCATTTAACCACTGCGCCACCTCGGGAGCTTCATCACTGGAGGCTTTCAAGAAGAGACTGGACTGCCATCTGTCGGGAATGGTGCAGGGTCTCCTGATTGGACAGGGGGTTGGACTAGATGACCTACCAGGTCCCTTCCAACTTTGGTAATCTGTAATCTGTAACTTACCCGGCCACCTTTCGCGAGATGGCCTGGATCATGGTTAGAAACTGCTGACCAGGATTGGTTTGGGGGGGGGGGGCACCCAGAAGGAGAAATTTCATGCTGCTTCCTCCACCAGCTTGTTCCTAACTCCAGAAAGCGGTCCAACTTCAAAGAAAGCAGCTGCTAAATGGCTCTATTAGTTTTCCTTTTGCAATCTGTCCCCTTCGCCTCTTCGGATTACCATCCCCAGCATCCCCAGCGGCGAGTAAAAGATCGGAAAGGCTGCATATTGTAGAAGGCTGCTTAGATCTTTTTTTCTTCACTCCCCCCCCCCCCAGCTGAACTGCTTCCCATTAAAGCACATTTCACTTTTCCCGGTGCTTCTAGCTCATTAGATAAGTGCAGAAGGAGGTAACTTGCAGAGAGAGAAAGAAAAAAAAACATTTCAGGTGATCCGTGTTTCTTTTTTCTCTCTTCCAGGAAGTGGAGGATGGGTTGCAACCTTCAGAGGCCAGCAGGGCGCTGTTGCTCTCTCCCACAGCTTCTGAAGAAGCGGATGGCTCCGTTGCTAAGGAATCCGATCTCTCGGAAGCGTCTGAAGCTCTCGGCAAGAACGTCGTCGCGGGGCTGAGAGACCGTATTCTCGTCCTTCAGAATCAGCTGGCGGTTAAAGAGTTAAGTTCCTGGGGCTCAGCCGACAGAACCCAACTCCCGTTTAATGCAGATTTGGGGGAGAAACCATCCAACTTTTCTTTCTCCTCCCCACCCCCTCTTTCCACCAGTCAAAAGTGAATACAGTGCCCAGCCTAGAAAAGATGCTTCGAATTCAGCAAGTATATCCCAGAGCTGTTTTTTTCCGCTAGTTATTCCTCCTCCTGCCTCTTTCTCACCAAGTTAGTATTGATTTGATTTGATTACATTTATATGCCGCCCTTTTCCCCAAAGGGGACTCAGGGCGGCTCACAATTCAAATCAGGGAAGGGGAGTACAGACAGGAAATAAAAAGACGAAACATAACAATACATAATTTAAAAACCCACAACAGTCATCCCATTCGAGGCGGGGGGCAACAGCTCTTTAGCCCCAGGCCTGTCGGAATAGTCAGGTTTTAAGGGCTTTGTGGAAGGCCTGGGAGGGTGGCGAGGGTTC